ACAATGGGATTTTTTAAAAACACAGATCATTAAAAATTCACTCTAAAGGCAAAAGCATTTTAAAGTATTCTGGGCTCAGCGCCTGTGGCTCAAGTGGCTAAGGCACCAGCCATATACACCTAAAGGTGGCAGGTTCGAATCCAGCCTGGGCCCGCCAAATAACAATAACGGCTGCAACCAAAAAAAAATAGCCAGGTGTTGTGGCGGGCACCTGTGGTCCCAGCTACTTGGGAGGCTGAGGCAAGAGACTTGCTTGAGCCCAGGAGTTGGAGGTTGCTGTGAACTGTGATGCGACGGCACTCTACCCAGGGGAACAGCTTGAGGCTCTGTCTCAAAAAAAAAAAAAGTATTCTGCTCAGAACTGTGAGTATGGGCCTTAGTCTTAACTTTGATCATGTAGAGAAAATGAGGTAACTCTTACTTGAGGTCTTCATTATTTACCTTCCTTGATGCCTAAAGGTAACTAGTTATAAGTTCAAAGTTTTTAAGCAATCGCCATCTCACAAAAGCAACAAAGGTGGCTGGGCATGATGCCACGTGCCTGTAATCCCAGCACTTCGGGAGGCTGAGGCGGGTGGATTGCTTGAACTCAGGAGTTTGAGACCAGACTGAGCAAGAGTGAGACCCAATCTGTACTAAAAAGAAAAATAGAAAAGAAAAACTTGCTGGGCATTGTGGCAGGTGCCTATAGTCTCAGCTACTTGGGAGGCGGAGGTAAAAGATCACTTGAGCCCAAGAGTTTGAGGTTGCTGTGAGCTATCATGATGCAATGGCACTGTGCGGAGGGCAACAAAAAGTGAGACTCTGTCTTAAAAAATAAAAATAAGGTGGCGCCTGTAGCTCAAGTGGCTAAGGCACCAGCCACATACACCAGAGCCGACAGGTTCGAATCTGGCCCAGGCCTGCCAAACAATGACAACTACAACCAAAAAATAGGCCAGCATTGTGGTGGGTGCCTGTAGTCCCAGCTACTCAGAAGGCCGAGGCAACAGAATTGCTTAAGCCCAGGAGTTGGAGGTTGCTGTGAGCTGTGATGCCACGACACTCTACCCAGGGTGATAGCTTGAGGCTCTGTCTCAAAAAAATAAAATAAATAAATAAAATACAAATAAATTAAAGCAACAAAAAGATGCATTTTGGGCTCGGCGCCTATAGCTCAAGTGACTAAGGTGCCAGCCACATACACCTAAGGTGGCAGGTTCAAATCCAGCCCAGCGCCGCCAAACAACAATGACGGCTGCAACCAAAAAATAGCCGGGCATTGTGGCGGGCGCCTGTGGCCCCAGCTACTTGGGAAGCGGAGGCAGGAGACTTGCTTGAGCCCAGGAGTTGGAGGTTGCTGTGAGTTGTGATGCCACAGCACTCTACCCAGGGGGACAGCTTGAGGCTCTGTCTCAAAAAAAAGAAAGAGATGCATGTTTGATAAGCATGATGTTCAAACATTCTTTTTATTTAAGTAGTAACAGTATAGCTAATGTTAACCTAAACTGAGAAAAATAATCAACATCCTGCTGCCTAGAGATAGCAAGATAATTTTAGAAGTTGTGGAACTTGAAAATTCAAGAATGGCATCTTGTCTTGAGAAAGCTGAAATCAACATGATTTTTTTCCTTAAAAAGAAAAAGAAAAGAAAAATCTTATTCCTAAAGAAGGTATCCCCATAGAGTGAGAAGCACAAAATTAGGAGATTAATTATTTGACTTTCAGGAATTAGGAATTTTGCATCCTGACTTTGCCACTTCCTAATTGTATGAACCTTTAAGAACTGTGTGACACTGTTCACCTTGGAGATGATCCATTCCATGGAGCCCCCTTGATAGCGGAGGAAAGTGACACCAGCATTTGCCTAAGTGAGGAGTGAAATAGCTCCCAGTCTACCAATCTTTCCATTTTAGCAAGAGGCTTTAGTCTCTATGTGGGTATTACTTTGCTCAGCTCCTCCTAATGACTGTGTCTATGAACAGGTCGAGAGAGTGGAATATAGTGCTTGATGCTTTTAATAAGGCTGGATTAAAATAAAAATCAAAGTAAGAGAATTTCATATTTCTTCAAACATCATTTATCAGTCAGACTAATGTAGCAAAAAAAACAAAACAAAACCAAAATCCGAGGAAAATTGGAAAAACCCCACAAGACCAAGGAGACCATTTCTTTCACAGCTTTGGTTAGATACTTTCATAATATTCTTTTTTGCAAGCACACTAAACAATGGAAAAACTGTCTCATAAAGCCTATTAAGGCTTTTCTGTTCTGGCTTCACTTATTTTTGCTATATTTGAGGTATCAGGGCTTGGTTGAGTTAGAGGTAGAATTCATGGGTGAAAATGTGTTAACTTGCCCAGATTATCGGGTTTGGTTTCCTCTTCAAGTTTAACATTTTAAGAGAGAGAAAATCTCCATGATGGAAGAGATAAGTGGTATAAAGCAGATTAGTTAAATAATTATTATCAAAAGTCATCACTAAGAAATAGGAACATTTATCACATGCTTATGATGTGCTAAACTCTTTATGTTTAATTCAATTTGACACCTATCATCTCTGCCAGAGTAAACTTCCAACAAGGAGACCTGCTAGAGTCTGAGTCAGTAGCAAGAAAGCAGGGCTCACTTCAGAGCAGATATGGACAATGCTGTGGGCAGGAGCTCACCCCAAGGACTCCACGGGCCCTCTCATAGCTCCCGCAGAACCGTCCCGACGCACAGCCCAAAGGTAACTGGTACCTAGGTGAATCTGAGAATTCTTGAAATTCATTCCCACTGTAGAACACAAAAACCCCAAAGGTAAGTGGGAAAAATGTTCCCAACCTTCCCTCTTGGGATCTCCTTCCTCCTGTTTAGGCCAAGAGCAGAAAATCAAGGCGTCCCCAGCAGGTGAAGTTTAGAGCAGACTGGAAAGCCAAAACAACTGCCCTAGCAGAACACCAACCAGACTACCTCCTCTGCCCTCCACTAACATCCTCCAGGGTCGGCCTTGGCCATGCCCATGGACAGGCACTTTGCCATTTTAACAGGTTCACCAGGTTCACCATAAATTTAAAGTGTGTGCACACATACACACATATACACCAAGACAGAACAGAGAAAATACCTAGCACGATGGGTGGAGCATGGTAACACCTGATGGAAGTGCTCTCCTCCTCACTTCCATTCCCATGAAGGCATGTAATGAATGGCATTCAGGATACTGATATACAGTTCTTTCCTTCAGAGGGCTCTGAAGATGTGCCTTCCAGACTTTTTATTGCAATCATTCACTTCAGAACTCTGGGGATTTATAGTACATCACGTAAGTGGCAGGCAACAAGCCTGAAGCAGGGATGGTTATTCAGTGAATGAGAAGCCACTATCAGGAGAAAGGTTACAAACTCTGGATCGGTTATTGCTACTATTGGAAATGTTAAAATCTGAAAAGGTTCCTAAGGGCCATTTCTTCTTGAATCTAAAATAAAAGTGGAGGCTTTATTTAAGTAAGCTGCAGGCTCTGCCCAATAGTTCACCGAGGTTATATTTCAGTTTCAGTGCAGAACTGACAAGGAAATGACCATCTGCTTTCCACAAACAAAAATATCCTTTGGGTGTTTAGCGAACTAAAGGAAACTGTACCTCATGTTTTGTCTGTCTCTTTTTAATCAAAACCCTAAAATCACTATAGGAAAACCACAACAGAACAGTATACAATATCAAGTCATAACAATGATTATTAAATATTACCTGTTATGTACATACAGATGAAAATACACCAAAATTAACCTCTACCTAGGCAAGATCAACTCGTAAACAAAATGATCAATGCACAGTAACGCAAAAGGGAACATCACACCTTAAGGCAGCATTGGTCGAGTGTTCTCTGGTAAAGAAGTATTACATATTTCAGCGACTAGTGAATGTTCTTAAAAAACAATTAAAATAAATACCAAAATAATATTTTGAAAAAGAAAGGGGACTGATTTTCCGACTTCTCCAAAGTGAACTGGTACTGGAAGTTTAATTGGGGATTACAAAACATACACAGGAACATGATGGCATAAAGTTGTAGAAGTTTTTCCTCAAATGTAAAGATCCCTATGAATTACTGTTATTGTTAATTAGTACTCTTTGGGCTCCTTATTCCCCTACTGTTGCATTCAGAGTAGTAATCAGGAAATTCTGCTCATGTTTAAATAATTCTGCAATCAGGTTGAATTTTACCTGAGTGAAATGGTTTCAAATTGCATTAATAATCTACATTAGGCTCTGACTTTACAACTACATTTTTAATGCCGGGTTTGCTTACCTGGTAGGTCCCCTAAATTATCATGTTGCAAACGTTGGTGCCAACCTAAAATGATGGCATCTACTGTGGCTGAAAAAGTCAGGCTTTGACAAGAATATTTCAAAGCTCTTTAATAAACACGTTTTGGGATTTGTTTTCTTTGCAGTTTATTTTGTTGGATTTTCTTGGTGAAGCCTGACCATTACCTTTAGTTGTTTTAATAGATCCAGTGTTACCTATTGACAGAACTATGACATTAAAAACAATAAAAACAATGGTTAAATGAAAAGAGCTCTCATGTGGTGCTGAGAAATAAAATGTAGGCACTTCTGCTTCAGGAGGTTTTCACATTTTGAATCACAGATGGCTCTTCCAAGCCATTTTCCTTCCCTGCTGGAAATTCCCTCATATTACAAACCAGCTAGTCACAGGAAACCTTGTTCTCACAAACACCCTTCTGGTGCATTCATCTTTTTCACAAAATTGTCTCCACTGACAGTCGAGACGGAGTCGCTTCCACTGCGGACCTCCCCTCCAGTGAGGCTGTTTGCTCTGCAGAACCATGTTACCCATCAGCAAAATATAAAGGAGTGTCAAGTGCAATTCTGCTCCTGGAAACTGTTAACACGTCTGCCTCTCTCTTTCTAGTTCATTACTGTGAGTGTAATTCAACAAAGTGTAATTCTAACACTCTAAAGCTACTGGGCTACTGGGATTTTTTTTTTTTTTTAATGTCTAAACAGTTTCCTTTTTTCTTTTCTTTTCTTTCCTTTCTTGAGAAAACCTGTGCTAAAAAGGCACTAGATAAAATGAATTTCCTCACTCTTGTATGTAGCAATTATACATTGTGTTAAATTCTAAAAGTTAACAAAGGTGACACACATTTGGATAAAACATCTGAATTATTCAGACTCATCTACTTAAAAAACAAACCCAAGTCCAGGGATTAGCAGGCCACACTGATGGAGACCAGCCTGATAGACGTCATGCCTGGTCAGCCCCCGCCTCCTCAGAGCACTGGTGACGCTGACCCTGGCCACCTAGGGGGGCTCTGGCCTAGGAGGGTGCACGGGGCAAGGGCTGCCCCAGGCTGGGCTCACTGGCAGCAGCTGTGAGAGCCCAGCCTCCTGGAGACCTGAGTAAACGAGACGAAGGTGAAGTTCTCACAGTTTTCCAGCTTGACCTTCTTGGCTAAGTTTGGGACAATTCCCCGAAGAGATCGCAGCCCCATCCTCTGTTCCTCGTACCACACACTGCCCATGTCTGCGGCCTCCTTTCTGGCAGTAAGGTAGAAGGGGGACCGGGCCTCCATCTGGGTGGGCGGCCGGTGGATGTACATGTACTTGTAGAGGAGGCAGTAAGGGCACTGTTTGTGCCCCCTGGAGTGCTCGTGGTAGATCTTGCCGTGACACACTCTGGTGGAACCACTCCGACTCTCCCGCTTGACGCTGTCTGTCCGGGCGAAGTAGGGCTGGTTCTGTGGGTCTTTGAGCAGCTCGATGTCACCATACATCAGATCGGCATGCTCCTGCAGCGTCCGCATGTTCAGGTACTGGCTGTTGTACTTGACCACGGTGGACAGGAGCGTGATAGGGCTGTCGTCCCCTAGACACCCCGCCTGCCACATCTCCTCCTCGTCAGACAGGGAGAAGTAGACGATGTTGCGAGAACGGGCCCCTGACATGCCTGCCTTACTCAGCACCCACAGCTTCTCCTTGAGTTTCTTGGTGGAAGAGCTGAAGGTGCTGCTGGTGATGGAGAAGCCCACACCTGCATTCTTCAGGATGCGGTCCAGGCCTCGGCGGATGGCATGCAGTGAGGTGGCCAGGAAGTCTGAGCCGTCACTCTTCTTAACGGTGACATAAAAGTTCTCGAGGAGCTCGTTCAACTTCACTGCAGGGATCTCAAATGAGACAAACACTGAGGTTACACACTGGAGGACACCCACACAGCCAGTACCCTCCTTCCTTCTCCTATCCTCACCAGGGGCTGCCTTGTGGACAAGACACGGTGTGGCCTCTAAAGGGTCGACCCCTTAGCATGACACAGTGGAAACAAGAGAGAACTTCAAGCTGGAAGATCTTCTACACTTGGATCCACCACTCAAACCTCTGCTTCCATTCACAAAACAGGAATAATGAACTCTCAAAGGATTGCTGTAATGCTTAACGTAGTGGACCATGGGAAGGTTTGCAAATAGTAACAAACACGCACACTGTGTGTCTGCAAATACATATATAACTTTTAATTAACCTTTTTTTTGTCTTTCGTAATTTTCATTATTCCTTTCTAGAAGGCCCTTTTTCTTTTCTTTGCTTGCGAATCATTTGCTCGCCTTCCTTCCAATAAAATTCAACCATCCTCTGTAAAGGATTCCTAAACTAATCAAACTCTGAATCACTTCGGCATTAGTTTCCTCGACACCTGCAGGCTGTTCGGTCCTGGCGTTACTACACATAGTGCTCCGGGGAAAGATGTCTCCTCCACTGAACAGAGCAAGTTAATGCTCCTTGATTTGCCACTTGCATTTATCGGAATAGGTCCTGAAATATATCTCTGGCTTAATGACCCACAGGTCTTCAATATCAGTTATTTGTTAAAGAGAAATCACACACTTACTGACTACACTGACAGGGAGAGCACCTTGTTTGGGACGGTAGAAGAGAAGGAAGCTTGGCTAGTAAGAAGGCTTTATTTTCAAGATGGAGAGCAAACCAGACCTTGCTCATAGTGTATTCATGCTGAATGTACTCATAATATTTTAGGACAAGAAGAAAATCTCAGCAAAAAAATTCTTCAGTGAGTAGAAACTGAACAGGTTAACATTCATTCTTCTAATATCCCCAAGTCAAAGAGAAAGAATTCAAGATTAAGAATTAACAACAAAAAAAGAATTAACCAAAAGCCACCTATTGGGTACAGTGTAGGGGCATACAGCAAGCACACTTTCTGGGTAAAGGACTCAACTACAACTCAGACTTTGGACTTTACCTTACAAATGTAACTAATCACATATATCCTTATATTAACCCCGAATTAAAAAAAAATTAACAAAAGAGGAAACATTACATATCTCATCTATTATATGAGATACTGTGGCCAGGCATGGTGTCTCACGCCTATAATCCTAGGACTTTTGGAGGCTGAGGTGGGTGGATTGCCTGAGCTCACAGGTTTGAGAACAGCATGAGCAAGTGTGAGACCACTGTCTCTATAATTAGCCTGGCATTGTGGCAAGTGCCTGTAGTCCCAACTACTCGGAAGACTGATGCAAGAGAATCACTTGGGCCCAAGAGTTTGAGGTTGCTGTGAGCAATGACGCCACAGCACTCTACTGAGAGCAATAAAGTGATACTCTGTCTCAAAGAAACAAAAACAAAATGCATGAGATACTGCAAAATATACAGAGGATGCCAAAAAATGTATGCACATTTTAAGATATGTTATCTATGTACTACTTTTTGAAGTTGAATTGGAGGTACCTTTACTGGTCAAGTGTACCTAGACATGCTACACACATCCATTTTACATCCAATTCATACATTTTTGGGGAATGTGTATAAATATTTTTTGCACCCCTAGTATTTTAATATCATAGTTTTGAATGACTTTGTTAGAAAACTTTATTCAGAATAAGCAAACCAATTATTAAACTCAAAAAGCTAGAAAAAGCAAATCAAACTAAAAAATAATAGACTGAATCAATACAAATGTCAATTAATAGGCTACAAAAGATATAAATTGGAGTAGATAAAAATAAGAATATGTAATCTTGGGTGGTGCCTGTGGCTCAAAAAGGTAGGGCGCCGGCCCCATATGCTGGATTCAAACCCAGCCCCGGCCAAAAA